TCATATTATATTGTGATTTGCTTTCCAATGTACCACACTCCCGACCTCACCAGCTACTGGACGACCAGCAATCCACAGGTCAGTGTACGTTAGGTTGGCCCCTGAATTCCAATGCCAGATGCCGTCAGGGAGAGATGTTGCTCCAACCCACAATTGTTTGTTGTTGTTCAAGTTAGGATCACCCTGTATATAATTTATAATAGATTGGTGTTCGTCAAAACTATCAATTTCAGCAAGATAATAACCCAAACTAGAACATTCTGTAACTCCGGCATCCCAAGATCCTGAATTGGTACTTATGTAATAACATGAGTCTTCAAAACCAAATTCATCGGGGTTGCACGCTGAAAAAATAATAATAAATAAATAAATAAATAAATAAATAAATAAATAAATAAATAAATAAATAAATAAATAAATAAATAAATAAATAAATAAATAAATAAATTAATATAAATAAATAAATAAATAAATAAATAAATTAATTAATTAACAAATTCAGACAGAATGATAAGAATTTCTAATGTTGTTGGGTCAAGCAGAAGCGGATTATCACATGACATGATAAAGTCAATGTATGCATTGAACGTCAAGTTACACAGTTACTAATATTAGTTGACTGGACAGTGATAGATCTTATACCTAATTTGGTGTACCCCCTGTCTTCAAAATATATTATTTGATTGAACAAACAGTTCTCACTGCTTTTCACATACAATGATATTTTAAAGTTATGTGCAGCTTTAATAACACACTATACTATTCTATTAGAAACAGATCGCCGGGCGTGAACATATAGTGATGACTTTTAAATAAGTACCGCTGATGTATGTATCTTCGTTCATTCAACACTTGACAAGAGGAATATTTATTTTAGTCAAGCATAAAATCTGCATGAAGGTCTCCCATCACATGACAAAGACTGACATTAGGCATTGAAAGATAAGCTGCCCAACAATTGAAACCAACTTGAGTGTATCGCAACAGAAATTCCACACCTTAACTAAACTCTAGCGCTCTCAACCGACATTCCAATTTTGATTCATGGTGTGTAAATTACCAATATATTTCAAAAGGGGAATGTTGTCGCTCGCACATACATTACGGCACTCCGATATACATTTTGAAAGATTGTGGCCATGGACCTTTTCCTCGACATTTTCTCAATATTCAATGATGATCAATGCGCCCTTCTTGAACTGATCGAACGTCTGCATCACACCGATCATATATACTGGCAACGGAAAATGTGTGAACTATATGTATAGACAATTGCATTATTGGTACAATGAATATGTGTCACATACATCAGAGTAAAATACATTGACGTGCTATGTTCTGTGTTCGCTTTCATTATCCTTCCAAACTTTATACTATCTTTTCTAGTTCATACAATCAGTATATTATATATGATCTCATAAACATATATATACTTATATCGATTGCTATAAAACTATTATATATTTTTTGTATATTCCCTTAGCAAAAGAGCCAGTTACTTATTAGAATACGTTATATGATATGTTTTTCACGTAAACAATTGTCTATGTTCCTTACCTATGCAGACGTGACATATTACCAAAACCAACACACCAGCAAATATCCATGTGTTTTTACGATGAGTTGAACACCTCATAGCTGTAGCAGGAATATAGCGGGCAATATTGCCACACAAAAATATTATCTTCTTCTTTTTGTTAATATTAGACTAACAATTTTCGCGTTTGCTGCCGCTCATATTTCTGATATGCGTCATTGTGAATAAAGTTTATTTCAACTGGAGCACTGCACTATTTGCAAATATGATTATTAACTGGAACTTGATAACATTCATGATTTCTATTTTCATTATCCGATGATCACTTCTTTGGGATGGTACCTCTTGGCATTGTATTACTGCTATTCCACGTATGTAATTTGTCTTTGTGTGAATTTGAGAAGCTATGTGGAGTCCATAAACATCGAAAATAAAACTGTACAATAGAATACGCGTTAAGAAAGGAGTGGGCGTTTAATAATTAAGATCACCACGGCGAACGCTAAAAGGCAGCATTGTGTTGGCAATTGGGTGTGATTATCAATACAAACATTGCCTATTGAGTATAGGCGCATGCGTAAAGCCGATTGTCAACGGAAATTAGATCTAAAGTCAATTAGCGCAGAAGAAGGCATGAACATACCCAGATTTGGGACACCCTTTTTTTAATTTGAGTATTACCACGCTTCAATATTGTCTAATAGAATTACAGCCTCTGCATTTACAAGAGAAAATACATTCAACATTGTTTCGTGGATTATATTGTCTTATATAATTGTTGTATATTATATATAAATGCAAATATTATTGTTTACTTCGACATACGTTACCTTCTCTTAGTATTATTTTTTCGGCTCATCAGGCGGACGATAATATCAACAGATAATTTTTTTTTTAAATTAAAAAATAACTATAGTTTGGAGTAAAATTGTATTATTGATAGACAAGTCATGTAGCTCTCTCTCGTCTTCAAATTATTAAATATTAGTTCCTTAATGCATGTAAATGATACTCAATCCTTGAATGTTCAATTTTGCAATTAGACAATTTATTTTCGGCATACTCAAAGCGCATTGATCGTCTAACCACGCAATGATTTGCGATTAATGTTACTCAAGCTTGATGTGTTATAAAGTAAGTTTCGAGTTAATATCTACTTATTAATATGTTCGAACAATCGAGTCAGGGAGAAGAACCAAACAGGGCGATGAGAATGTGAGGGAGTGAACGTGACTGAGAGAGCGTATTGACTTAACTTGGGCCATATTCAAAACCTTTCCCTCCATATAGAACAATACTTTAGACATGCCTTCTTACAGTGAAAACAATGCATATCGACCTCGCCTAAGCGTGACTTTCAGCGCGAAGTTCCAAGTTGAAATGTCATGACAACAGCAATCAGTATGACAAAATTAAAGGACGGTTGTCGTTGTGCCACGTCGTGTTTGATATGGAACCCATAGCGACGTATACAACGCGTGTTGAACATTGTTAGTTCAAGCGAAATTCAAAAACGCGATGTACGAATGAAGCGTAGACACGGTTTATTGTACTCATTGTATGACTACATAACCCCCCTAAATGCTTGTGCCAATTATCATTGTTCCGTGTACTTACTGATAATAATGAAATAATAATGACAGTGACATCACCAAGCCGAAATAACTGGACGATAGATGCATACTATTAGATATTGTACATTGTGACCCAAGCTAAATACAAAGGCCGGTGCGCGGTCGCGAAAACCCGTGAGAAGTCAGTTGAAATGTCCCATGATACAATTTACTTGCACTTGTGTGAACAATCAATGACATCACCATCGGACTAAGCCAGAAGCGAATCAAAACAATATGTTTCCCTCTTGTGATTTTAAATGATGGTAAGCAAACATTACTACACTGAATTTAAAGTAAGCAATATCGTAAATAAACAACAAACAACGGTGTGTCTCCATAGCGAAATTCGTCGCGTACCTATTTCGTAATGAAACATGCTTTTTGTCTGTTTAGGGAGGTGTGAATTGATGTTACACAGTAGTGCACGAGTTGCATCCTTTTTCTGTTTTTATAGTATCACTCATTCACATCCCTTGCAATTGGCTCGGTCGGGATTATATTTTTGGCAACAATTGCAACATTTTAATATCTAAACCTTTATCAAACTAACATTTATCAACATATTCGCATTTATCATTTGCGTGTATATTTATGCATCAACAGAGAAACTGACGGTAAGAGTTGATTGGAGATCTGCGATAAGTCAAGTGATTTACAGCTTTTTATGTCGGATACATTATACTGTTGTTTCTCAAGGAGTGATCACAATGTGTATTCCGTTCGATTCGGCCCTGCATAATAATAAATTTAAATAGTCAGCTAAACCAACTCAGATATCATCATGTTCTTTTATTATTAGGTTTGCTTGTTAGGGAAAATAATGCTTTAATAAATACAATACTAGTAGAAAATAGAAAAAAAACTTATTAAAACCACCAAATTACATTTATGAGAATGATGTTCCTATATTGCGTGTTCTTCTGAATCTTGATGACAGTTAATCAATTACAAAACGATACATTTGACGACAATCTACATGCTTCTATTTATATTTTGGTAGGTAATTTACAAAGATGTATTATCCAAGTACAAGTATGGTCTAATCTCAGTTAAATTAAGTTCCTACTGTTTTTTTTAAATATAAAAATTGGTTGACATACCCGCCGTGTTTTACTTCAACATGAGAAACAAATAACCGTCTTGTCATTGGTAGTTCTCAAAATTTAAAGCAACAAACACAAACAACGGATTAAACCCCCGTACTAATTCTATTTTTGAGATTCGTATCTATTCTCACGAGATTTCGGAATATATACCACATTTTGGGAACTATTAATAACTTTAATCAGTAGAAATGCTCAGACACAAAAATACATAATATTGTTTACAAAAACTGGTAATATAATAAATGCAGTCAAACATCATCATCGCATAGTGTATTGTATTGTATTAGTATATTAAAACGTTCATTGATCTTATTTTTCTGTCACATAAATATATTCGTTTTGGGATTTATTTGTTGGTTTGAATAACAATATTTGAAAGTAACTATCATCTTTACATTCGACAAATTACCACATTGATAGTTGTGTGAAGTGTGATTGAAATTACATTAGAAGATTACGGTCTTTTAAATTCCCAATTTAGTTCGAAATCATGTTGAAACAACAAATGTTCGCAACAATTCCAATTAATCTTGTTTTATTTCTACAGACACACCTCGTCCCACAAGTAGAAATATTTAAGTTCAATATAGCTGTTCCTCCAACTATGCCGAACCTAGGTGAGTGAGTAATTTGTATTTGCATTTGAAATGAAGTTCACTTTTCCATGGTGTTTGGCAGATAAGAGGTCATTGTTACATTGACGTACAGCCATGTAGGTATTTCTTTTAAATGAGGTGATTCTTACACGTAACGCATCGAGCAACTGATTGTGGCGACTTCTGACTATTTGCCCGACAAACCGACATTACGATACTTCAGGCGATGTGTTGCTTTACCGTTGCCATGGAATAGCCTTGTGTAAAACGACCATATGATGACGATGTAAGAATTTGTCATTATTAGTATAAAGGCATTATTGCTTTACGAACAACACCGATCATATTTTAATATTTGAAATGCCATTGTATAAATCTTAAAAATATCTTATACATCAGTGAATACTGTAATATTGTATATATTGATACGTAATATAATTAATGTGTTGTTAAGAAATTTCCCAAATAATAAAACAAAAATAATAAGTAAGCCAGGGGTCCAAGGAGGGCTCATAGAGCATGTGCCATTTAATTGGTTCTGATTGGTATAAACTGCTTAAAACGTCAGGTGTGTAAAGGTAGTTAATAAATTAATAAACGCAGCTCGGACTAAATATAAATAAGATATATAGAAGATAATATTTGGTAATTGTAAATAATATTTGGCTCATTATCGATAGCATAGAAGAAACATGCGATAGGCAAGTAAAGGGGTGGGCAAGTAAAGGGGTGGGCAAGTAAAGGGGTGGGCAAGTAAAGGGGTGGGCAAGTAAAGGGGTGGGCAAGTAAAGGGGTGGGCAAGTAAAGGGGTGGGCAAGTAAAGGGGTGGGCAAGTAAAGGGGTGGGCAAGTAAAGGGGTGGGCAAGTAAAGGGGTGGGCAAGTAAAGGGGTGGGCAAGTTGGAGCAATTTATTTGCACCAATGCAAAATTGAGACTACATATCTTTTATAAAATAGTTTGGTAGAAATTTGAACCTTTTCGTCAAATTCAAGATTCACTAAAATGAACTAAAATGAACACGGAGCCCTATTGTTATCGTTAAGATTTGTCTTCCACTTCTTCCAGCTCTTTGTTTTTTGTCAAATCGTTTTAAAAATCGACTGAACGAACTGATCTCAAACGTTCTATGTAGACTGGTGCACACCACATTTCCTTGGTCAACTGGTTCAGTAATTACCATGGATTATGTTTAAACCAGAATAGGCTTTTTGAACATTACGGAGTGTCTAGGCATACTGTATATTTGTCCTTATGCAGTTACTGATCTACTACAATTGTAATCATATGCAAAGTTTAATTGATATCAGTTAACTGACAGTACAATTATGGCTACGAAGGCGTTAAAAACGTAGGTAACGGTCTGTTTGCGGTCTCAGGGCTCAGTAAACGTCTGGGCCGAGAACGTTTACTAGAATTGAGACCCAAAACAGGTCGTTGTATGCCGTTAACATTTGAGTGCCATAATTTTAAGTTATACGAATTCGACAAGTTTTGGGTGGTTTTTTTCTCTAGAGCCTCATTGCGCCGGGGTCGCGTGCGACACGGTACATTTGTGTTGCGTGTAACCCCTTTTGTATAGAAATGACCTGTAGAATTCGTATTGTATTCATGTACGTATCACAGTGAGCTACATGTTGCAGGCAAATTACCTGCTTATTCATACTTTGTAAATGCGAATATAAAAGTGCATGATAATGCGAGATTGCAATGATGTGTTTTGACGCGAGTTTAAAACGGTGTGTTATATTTCGATATCGCATTGAAGTATAACGCGAGTTTCTATTTTTAAATATGTCAACGTGTAATTGGCATTACATTGCTGGGGCGCTATACTAAGACTCGGCTGTGGTGAACCAGAAAAAGGGCGCACTGGCACAGCACGAACACAAACTAATCTTGTTTGCATCCTGTACATCAATCACAATTTCAAGTAATTTCATCGTCGCTGTTGATAGAAATTAAACCTATCCCTCCATTCAAATCGATGCATTTCCAATGCATGCTCGTAGTAACAAAAACTAATAAGCGTGAATATAGACGTTCCCAATATTTGATTAACAGTGCGCATGTATTACCAATCAAGGATGAGATTCACAGTTTAGGTACTTTTTGGGCGTCGGTCTAGAATAAAGGTTTGTAGTTATTTTACATTATGAATCTCAATAATTATAAAATTTTTAACAATGTTTTAAATACATCATGTCAAAGCCTTTGTAGACCCACAACCTAAACTCCCCTAATTTCCGAGAATTGTATATTAGTTCGACATTTCGATGGCTTGACTGATACAGCAGCTCATTTCGAAGCCCAACTACCGTTGTTTAAGTCGACCATGTCGACGCCTGTGATGGTTCTTGACGTTCGGTAAAACAGTTCAAACGCGTTCAAGCCCCGAGAAGTGCTAATATTTGCAAATCATTGCCTAATTGGATAATATATTGGTCTGAATATGTCCACAGTAAACCTGGTTCAGTCTGTTTTATTTATTTTTTTCAAAGTGAACTTGCAAATACCTACCTAAAATTCCAAATAATTTCGTCCCAATTCACATTCGTCCCACAAGTCGATTCGTCCAAATTCACATTTATTTAGTCAATTTTTTTAAATTTTTGGTCAGCATTACAATCTTGAGCATGGTCAATTTCTATGTCTGTGTGCAAGAGCTTGACATCGATGGCGGTAAATCCTTTGTTTTGTCGGTTTACGTTGCAGGTTTGGCCAACTGCTACCGACATGCTAACTAATAACTCCACGTTACGTGTACGGTGTATTTGTATTTATTAACTAATATCGTGTACGTTGCGTGTATTTGTATGAATTATAGGTAACAGATGTAACTTGCATTTCAATTTCTTTTGAGCATTCCACCATTCGCTACTTCTCACTTACATGTTATTGTCAAATGTGTGTTTTACTGATCTTGCGGAATTATTAGATTATGTTCACGCATCGGCTGTCAACCATGGTATTGAATAAACCTAGCTGTTGCTAATATTAATAGTGTATTTTTAATGTGATAAATATTCGGATATAACTTTGTAACTTTCATATTATATTTTCACGTTCGAATATGTCCGAGAAAGTTGGTGTGATTTGTTGTAATATGCCATTTTATAAATATATACAACTTCCATGGAAGATAGTCGGGGAAGAGAGAGGAAAAGTTTTAATTCAGATTTAACTCTTAACCGTCGGCAAAAGCAAAATGGCGTACCGAACAATTCCGCATGCCAGTGCACGTGAACAGTTTGTTGTTTGGCGAGTTAGTAGTGGGCTAACCTTAAATCTGACGAATCGACTTGTGGGACAAATCGACCGACTTTGGGACGAATTAACTTGTGGGACGAATCGACCGTCTCCCTTGAAGTCAATTGGGATAAGTGTTCTCCATCTTCATACTCATCCCGGTGAGTAGACAAATCCATTTATTGTTCTAAACCAATGAATATAATTTTGAGCATGCCTTGAACACCCCGCCACCTTTCCTGTGAATCTACAAACATTCTCTACTTTGGCGTAATTCATTTAAACTACATTACACCCATAGGGGAAAATCTGACTGGTCCTTTCATGCAATTTCTCATCGTGGTTTCAACGACCTTCAAAAATGCCAACACGTTTAATGACTAGATAAATGATGTTTGTGATCATAACAAATCAGAGCAATTTCAGAGTTTTTACTGTGCATATCTATATGCTAACATAATTCCATCTCTGATTTTTACCACGTAAATTGTTATTGACCACATCCCCAACATGTATTTTTTTCTCCAGCTATTCAGTAACCGTGTTAACAACCTATTTACATAATAATCGAATTGATTTTATGCTAGCAATGTTTAGTTTTGGATTACAGATAATGGATGACTAACAACTGATACATTTATAGTATTTATTGACGTCCATGTAACATAGAAACAAAAGTTTGAATGTATCAATTTATTTGATTATACAATAATCTCGAGCTGAAACTACATTGTTCAATAAAAGAAACAACAATTCAGTTCGACATGAATATTTCTACTTCGTCATCGAAGAATATTTGTAACCATGCTCAATCAGTATTGAAGAGCAAATTCACTAGTATTGTTATTTTGCTAATGCTACTTTTTTGGAGTAAACACCGTTTGTGTAAAATTCTATGCGATGGACATAAATCTACATATTCGATACCAATTTAATAAAATATTTGTAATCGTTCTAAAATATAATTAATTAACAAAATAAAATAGTTATATATATATTACAATATAAATATAATTAAAACTTGCTATAAAATTAACAACATAAAACCTTGGAAGCGTACCCACGCTTTAATCTATGTTTGGTATACGTATGTTCTCATTACCAATATACATTCATCGTGGGGGCCAATCCCGGTTCTAAATCTGCAAGGATTAAATAATAACATACACGTCATTAATGTAACTTGTCATATCAGTATGACTGAGAATAATATATGACAAGTGTCAAAAGTAGATCGGTTTTCAATGCACTCAAAACAGAAATCACCTTTTGGTTGTGTACCTCGAGGTTCGTGTATCATTTTATTCGTTCATGAAAATAATGTTATAAAGTTGTAATCAATTATGTCTTCAAGCTGACAATGCTTACCTGTTATTTTATATTATGTGGGTCCAATACGTCGTAAAAGTTGCCTTTACTCAACACAGGGTAAGTATTCGGTCCGGTATCCATCAAATCCACTGTGTACATGTTTCCTTCGCTGTAATCATCATTATATTCTTCGCTTGAGATATTTACATTGTCGGTGGTGCTATAAGTTTCTGACTCGTAGATGCTATCTTCGTGCAGTTCCTGTATCAGCTTCTTCTGGCGGTTACGTCGTCTGTGAGTGAAGATTAATGTTTAATGTATTATATAATATCACTGGTACGAGGTCGTTCGTATTCTATCAAAATATGAGTCATGTTGCCTGTGAGTGGTTAAATGAATTTTAATCTAGACAAATGTTTGAATGAATCGACCAGTGGCTTACCTTCTGAACACTGCTGCAGCCATTGGTATTGTGCAGCAGCTGAGAATAGCAGCCATTATTGCTATTCCACCAGCTACTTCAAGGATTGGATCCAATGGGTCTACAAAACAACATACGATTAAGCTAATGCTTAATAGTTCGACATACAATTGGATCTAACATATAGGTTGCATAACTACATATCAGTCGAATGTCCAAATTGTTCTTGGTTTATTTATTGTTATAAACAATTAAACATAAGTAGACAATAAAAAACAAAATATTGATCAATTCATATCAAATTGAATTGTTCAATAGGCTCGATTTTGTGGTAATAGCCCCCCCAAATAGGATATAACAAGACTTGTGCATCTCTTTTCGGTATAGTGGATTTATTTTTATTTAGACTAAATTTATTGCTGTTATTTGTTGACAGTGCACACAACCAAAAATAAATGCACAAGTAGTTCAAAAAAGACAGGCAAAGGCAAAAAAGTATACAAGTTATCATATTGCTAAAAATTAATACAAAGAAAACTAACCTGGATCTGGTGATAACACGTTAACTGTCACGACTTTTACCTCTTCTTCACAATATCTACCAGTGAATCCTTCAGTACACCTGCGAGTCAAGAAACAAACATTATCAGAGTCTGATTAATTACTCCCGATACACGTGTGTATACTGAGTTGTATTATTATATATCATGTATACATTTACTAACCTGCACGAAAGAGTCCTGTTTGCATAGTGTATAGTGCAATTGCCGTCATTCTCACAGAAATTGTCCGGACACACTGGCGCTGTGAAGAATATAATCAGAATGAACTCAACAAATATTTTCAATTTCATATTAAGCCAGCAAAAATAGTATGTTATTTATCCACACATTCATCTTATTACATCTAAGGTTTAAAGATGTAATATGAAAGAACATACAGATTGTTTATATTGTTGTTTGATAGTCCATATTGTAGACCCAAAGCAGGTTATGATTTATCATGAAGAGAAAAGGTTGAATTAGCAGTACACACAACAGCATTCGTTTGATGAAACGTAGGTATATTATTAGAGCTTAGCTTTTTTGGAAATGTTACAGAGAACATATAATGAACATTCTGTTCATCATGGAGTGGGGAATGGCAGAATGCATGGTACAGATACAAACATTTAAGTTTTCTAAAATACTAATATAAATTTATGTTTCACGTATTAGAAAAAAAATGTACTGGGCATGGTGTACTAATTCAGACTCTTATTAGGATGGAACTTGCGAAGGAGCTGACACCCTTGACATATCAAGCCTCTAAATATAGACCACTTGACCAAGTGTTACAACTTGTGTAGTGATGCCTTTGACCTCGAGTTTTTAAGATAGAACATTTCATATTGCACACCAAGTATAGATTATATGCAGCCAGTTTGCAATAAATTATATGAATTTTTTTTTCTATATTCAAGCGCACAATCTGCATGTGTTCAATTCCTCTTATTTTTTTCCAGAACTTTGCAGATCCCGATTGCATACTAATACATAACATGTATCAGTTCGGAATATATTTACATGGAAACTGTTTGTATAGTTGGTGAGCTCACAAATGACGGACGGCGGGCGACAGACATTTTGAAAACTATACCTTGCCCTGCATTTTCGTATCAACACAAGGCAAAAATCACCAATACCAATGTCAACAATTGTTATTGTGCATACTAAAACAATCAGTGTACATGCGCAATAGAGAATTTCATTGTTTCATCAAACGAATACTTAATAATTAAAAATATTGTCGATTTGAAAATTCAAATTATACCTACCATATGCAAAAAATGTAGGGTCCACTGTAAAATTTCCAAAGTCGCCATCCTCTATAGCTTCTTCTATGATTTGTTCCACTATATCTACTGTCACAGTTGAATTCAATTCCAATATGAAGTCGACTACCAAATATGGACCTCTTGGATGAATATCAATAATCTCCCCACCAATATAGTCACCTCCAGTTACATTGTTGTTATTAAACAACTCATTAAGCTGAAATAAATACCGAAGCTGTTTGTCTCAGAGCTCAGTAAATTTTGAGAATGACGCCACTGACGATGCCATTTTATACTTCATAGTGTTTACCTATGAATGATGGCTGGGGTAACGAGTATCATTAAAAAACTGAAAAGCTAAGACACAAATCACCTGTCTGTAAAACCCCGTGAAGACGTGTTCGAATGTGTTATGGATGCGTTCTAGCATAGATTTTCCCCCTATTTGGGAGTAGTGTATTATAATTACGTTGTTACATAGCGCTTATAGTACTACACTCATGATCAGGTTACCACGAGAATAATTCAGCAAATGCGTTGATTGCTAGATTGTTTTACTGCATTTGTATCTATACTTTGCGGTATTCACATAACTCAACATTACATAACTCAACCAGTGGTCACTTGTCCAACCTCTGTTACACTGTGTTTGTCTAAGCAGCCGGTAGTTCTATGTGTTGTTAATGTTGCGAATCATTACAAAACATTCACGCGAATAATAATACATAAGTGTTATTGAATGCATGTATTTGATTGATGCTGTTTATACGCATGCTCACCAAATCGAGAATATCCTGGGGATCAGGAAACTGTTCAGGGTCTATCAAATCAATCGGAATGCCATCGATTTCAGTGATCAAAATCTCTCCTTGGACTTCAACTGTACCAATATCTTCATCTGTGATTGTGAGTCAGAACGAGTGTCAATACACTTGCAGATAAACAGCATGTGCTGTCGTGTTTGTGGCCAACACATAGAAGCAGAATGTTGTTAATGAACAAGAAGAAAGTTCTTCACTTGAAGCATGTGTAAAGTGTAAACATTTGTTTTGGAATCGGCGTGTCCGCGTCCGCGTGTCTCATGGTAGATTTATGCGCGCATTCGGGAATGAAAGGTGAAGTTTTGTAACATATTTGTAAAAATAAACAGCAACATCATAGTGAAAGGAAAATGGGGAAAACATAATGTTCACAGTTGTTCTAACATCCTCCTCCTTCTAGTAGTCAGATATTAGAAGTCCAGTAACCTTAATCGTCTACAGTATATCTATAGTATATTGGATTCGCTATGCGAACGCGCTATCAACTGAGCCAAAAAACTGTGAAGTCAATGTAGCTTGAATGACCGTCATATCATACACTTCATTTGTACATTTTGTCATTGAGTTTCCTATTAAAGTTTAGTTAACTCAATCATACTAACCAACGCAATAAGGATGATCTTGGTCCCAATCTTGTAATGTTGCGTTACATGTAGTATATATAGGCCCGACTAGTTCGAATGAATCATTACATGCGTATTCTACTGTTCTTCCAACCTTGACTGGAAACTTTATTCTCCCTAACAAGAATCCGTCATAAGGCATAACTGGACGTCCACATGTGATAACTAGAAAGGTATTAGAAAAATGAAATATTGTGAAACTTCTTTCAATGTACCACAACATCTTACACTGTAAACAATTCACATTTGTACACTTAAGGTTTTACATACCTTCACACGTTGGTAACTCAGACCATTCCCCATTCAGTTGACATCTAATGGTGTCGTTACCATACATTGTATAATTAGAATCACACTCGATCATGACAAAATCACCAGTTTGAACAGGTAAGGTATAACCGTCCGCTATTTGGGAATTATCTGGCAATTCGAGCTCATCGCAGCCATCTTGAAAAAAAATCAATGTTGTTTCTTAAATATGATATTCAAACACGCACATACACGCATAGCTTAAAGTGATAAATTCAAACAAGTAATTATTATTATATAACTTAAACATTTCCGATTTCCGGGACTGTATTGTTTTGAGAATAACTAGAAAAACTAAATGTTTATACTTACTTAGGCAAATTGGAGTATCCCCGTCCCATGTTTCAATTGTACTATCGCATGTCAAGTTACTTGGTCCAACCAATATCATATTCGGCGGACAGGAAAAGTAGATTGTTGTGCCAAACTGCGCTGGGAATGTTACTGCCGGATCGTATATAATAGAGTTATCTAGTTCCAAATCAGGACAACCAATGACTATCATCAAAAGACATATAAAAAAAGGTTACAAGATTCCGCCACAGTAATGTATAAAATATATCAACCCAAATATTTGTGTTATTGATGGACGGATATCGAGTCTGTCAACACCAATTTACCTTACAGGACTGACTTGAATGGCTTATTTGTTAAGTGTTTTTTGTGTGTGATATCTTCGTAAATATAAAATTGTTCTAACACATTTAGAATGGTGTTTATGACAGAGAGCACTAGCAGAAAATATAAATCCTACTATTGATTTCAAGTACATACCAGTCGTAAAAATAGTCGTAGTTGGTTTTACTGGAGTTGATGTTGCTGTCAGTCTCGACGTTCCTAAATATAATATAATAATATATTATTGCACACACTTGCAGCAGCGCATATATGTTTTATGTTACTTGTTCTGTGTTTTAAATGTTTTGATTTTCCCTTGGAATTTGGCAGGGGGGTTGGTACCCCCTTAAGTGCGAACCAGTGTCACCGGCCTGCCTACGGGGTTCCAAGGTGTTTTTTTACTGTTACGTGATCGCCTTTTATTTACCCGTGAACCAAAAAGCATAATATAATATAATATACAATTATATATAGCTCATTTCATATAATATAAGTGCTTTTT